GTGCACCAACCTGGATGATGTACTGGGCAATGATGATTAGGCTAACCAGCATGCTGATGTTGGCCAACAGGGAGAAGATGGTGAGGACACGGAGGTTCCGAATAAAGACCAGAAGCCCCAGAACGGGCAGGAAGGTAAGCATGTAGAGTCGTGAGTCCATGGTGGGCATCGGAACTACAGTCTCGTTGTTGTGGCAACTGAAGGTTGTGCCATTAACAGCTTCTACAACCTGGGGAAGAAATGGGAAAGCAAGAGGAGGAAGAATCTGGTCGCACGGTGGACTCAGCGCTTTCCCCAGAAGCAGGCTCTCTTATGAAGAGTTGATCTCGAGCAAGTACAGGGCACTGCCCACTTCCTTTTGGTTTTAATTTTTCTAAGACATTTACAGTTATGTATATGTTCGTGTGTGCATGTGTGCTCAACATTGTGCACACATGGAAGTCGGAGGACAACTTACAGAAGTTGGTTATTTCCTTCTACTGTAGGGGACCCAGAGATCGAACTCAGATCAAGCTTGTCAGTAAATGCGGTCTCTCCAGCCCATGAAATGTCTTACTCTAAATCCTCTTCAACAGACTACCTTAAAGGAGGCTATCAAGACAGCAAATTTCATGACAGATAACTACATTTATAGTGGGGTCTGGTGCCTTGGCTTCCTGGCATCTATCCTCCTGGTATTGATTATTCATACAGAATTCAGTCTTGGGACAACTGGAGATCACAGAGCTGGAGGCTGGCCTGTGTGGCAGGCTCTGAGCTCAGAAATACAGATGGAATTCTCAAGCCGAGTGACACAAATATCAACTAAAAAAGGTGAGAGTGAACCCCGACAGTAAGGTCCCAAGGGATGACTCACTCATCCTGGTATCTGCAGCCTCACCACACACACACACACACACACACACACACACACACACACACACCATGCATGCTCTGGCTTCTGGTATTTTCTGAGACCCACGTTTAGCTTTCTATTCCATTTTGTAAGTCAGTTTAGATCCTTCCAGTACACTCATTTTCTGTCTAAAAATTTCCCAGAGTCTCTTTCTTTCACTCATAGCCCCTAAAGCCCATCAGTTATTGCTCCATAACTAGCCTAGAGAGCTAAGTTAGTCTCTCTCTCCTTCCCCTCCCCAAAAAACCAAAAATGATAGATTTGTTTTATTATTTTGTGTGTATGACTGTTTTGCCTACATGGATGTTTGTGTACCGTCTGCATGTCTGGTGCCCCCTGAGGTCAGAAGAAGGAGTCAGATCCCTGGGACTGGAGATAACAGACAGATGTGAGCTGTCGTGTGGGTGGTGGGAATAGAACCCAGGTCATCTGCAGGATCAACAAGTACTCTTAAGCACTAAGTAATCTCTCAAACCCAGTTGTTCTTTCTTGTCTAGAATTTTGAATGTCGGGGCTCTCCTTTTTCTCCCTTTTGCATGGATTGGACCACTTACAGAAGAACACAACATCCTTGAATCCTACTTAGTGAAAGCTATTAACACCCTCAAACATGTTGTAAACAAGATCCCAATGCTGGTTAGTTTTAATTACCAATTTGCTATAATCTAAAATTACCTGGGAAGAGTCTCAGTGAACATTTGTCTAGATCAGGTTGGCCAGTGGGTGTGTCTGTGGGGAAATTATCTTGATTGTTAACTGAAGTAGGAAGAACCAGCCCACTGTGGGCAGCACCATTCCCTAGAATCGGGCCCTAGGCTGTGTAATCATGGAGAAAGTGAGCTAAGTAGTAGGCATGTAGCATTCATTTCTCTCTTCTCTGAACTGTGGATGTGATGGGACTAACTGCTTTGGGTTCCTGCTCCCTGATTTCCCTACAATGATGGATTGTAACCTGGAGTTGTGAGCTAAAACACACTAATTCTCCCTTAAGTTTCCTTTTGTTGAGGTATTTTATCACAACAACAAAAATGGGATTAATACAATCTCTCAACACACAGTATACATGCCCCTTCCCTATTAGGTCAGGGTGGATAAATGGTCTACCCTAAGTTTAAAATCAGCATAACTCTAATATAAACAATACTATTGTTCAGACAATAGGATTCACGGCAGAACAATTACAATCTAGAATCATGTAAGAAGAAAGTGTAAAGCTGTTGCTGACATCAGTACTCATGGAGAAGTGTTGAGTCATCTCCAATATATTCATCCATGCATTTTCTATACAAAGTAACAAGTTACATGATGGAGATTCATTTTATATTGTAAAATGGCAATTACTGTATCCATTCTTATTTTGAAACCTTATTTTAACTTAAGTACACATCATGGATATATAAATATGAGTCATTATGTCTTGAATTTTTCTCTACTTCCTGCATGTGTGTTGCAGGGATGGAACCCTGCAGCTCATTCATGCAGAGCAAGCACAGTGCCACTGAGTTTCTTGGCTTTTTTTTTTTTTTTTTCCTGAGGCAAGATCTCATGTAGTCCAGGTTGGCTACAAACTTACTATGTGGCTGAGGATGACATTGAACTTCTGATCCTCCTGCCTCCACCTTCCCATTTTGTGAGAGATTGAACCCAGAGATTTGGGAACGTTATACAATCAGTCTACCAATTGAGCTATATATATCCCAGCTCTCTGAACTTCGCCTTTTTGTTTGTTTGTTTAATGATTCTTCCCTACAGTAGGAAACATCCCCAGACAATTAGTGTGGTAGTTTGAATGTAAGTGGCTCCCACAAGCTCATAGAGTGTGGCACTATTAGGAGGTGTGGCCTTATAGAAGTAGGTGTGACCTTGTTGGAGGAAGTGTGTCATGGTAGGGGCGGGCTTTCAGGTTTCCTATGCCCAAGTGATGTCTAGTTCAGTTCACTTCTTGTTGCCTGTGGATCAAGATGTAGGGCTCTCAGCTCCTTCTCTAGCATCATGTGTGCCTGCCTGCCACCATGTGCTGCTATGATGATAAAGGACTAAATCTCTGAACTGTAACCACCCTTAAATGTTTTTCTTTATAAGAACCGCTGTGGTCATGGTATCTCCTCACAGCAATAGAAACCCTAACTAAGACAATTAGCCAGGCACTCACAGACCTCCTTAAAAGATCTCTGCGAAGTGGTCAGGACTCTTCCTCAAATGCAGCCACCACTGTCTTCTACGACCAGCAGAGTTGCTTCTCTTGGGTCAGTTCCATGTATTCTTGCCTGGAAGTTTTTTCATGGTCTATGTCCCTAGCTTGGCTGCTTACACTCTGCAAGCTGCTGAAGCATGCCCAGCTCACATATGGGTCCTGGAGGCAGCCTTCTCTGATTCCAGAGGCTACACAATGATGCTTCTTCACCACAGTATGCATTTCCACCACCTGAGCTGCCTCCCAGATGGTCACATGGAAGGTTGCCCTCTGTGTTTTAGACCCACTCACAGAGCTTGCAACCCCTTCAAGACAGTGCTTGCCTTGATAGACAGCTGATAAAAATGCAGACCATGAGCAACAGACCATAAGTAAAGGTTTGCAGATAGCATCTTGCTCTTTGGAGAGCCTCTACATAGTGAGTTTGAGGCTAGCTTGGGCTACATGAGATCTTGCCTCAACCAATAAAATAAAGACAATACAAAACAAAAATATCTTTGGTTTGGGGATATGGCATAGCTAGTAGAGTGCTGGCCATGAATGAAGTTCTGATTTCAAGGGTTGCATAAACCAGGCATGCTGGCACACACCTGAAATCCCAACACTTAGTGGGTAGGGGCAGGGGGATCAGGAATTCAAGATCATCTTTGGCTATATAATAAGTTTGAGCCAATCTGGGCTACATGAGACCCTATCTTAAAACAAAACAAAACAAAACAACAAAGAAGAATAAAAGAAACAGTGGAAATATCCAGCAACAAAATATAAACCATGCTATGATCATTCTTAGTGATGAACTGCTTCAAACTACTTAAAATGTAAGAACCTAGCAAAATGTGAATCAGTTATGATTGTCAGCTTTCCATTGATATAATAAAACATCTGAGAGAATTAACTTTTAAGGAGAAAAAGTATGGGCTCCTAAGATGGCTTGAACATGTACACACACACACACACACACACACACACACACACACACACACAGAATAATGACTCAGAAATCTATAGATATATGGAGGGTGGGGGAGGCCAAGCTACAAGATAGCATGGCTTTCCCTTCCCATGTTGTATTAATGAGATTTTTGAGGACTCAGATGAAGTAATGTGGTAGGCAAACAATTGGTAGAGAAGCTTCCTTCTATGTCCTCCCTTTCCCACCTTGTCTAATATGCCTACCTGTTTTAAATTGTCTGCCAGAAACACAATATACACACAGCAGAAGCCCAGCTGTGTAACAATGAGGAAGAAACTCACGATGTACCTGGAGGAAGGAAGAGGAGAGGAGCTTGTTATAAGAAATTGACTTTTCTGTTCTATTTCTTGCCATTCTGCCTTCTGTCCCCAAGGGTTGGTGGCCCTGTACCAACACCCTCCATCTGTCTGCCACTATCAAAAAGGCAGGGGGAGGGAGGTAACAACAGCTCGTTATAAACAGCAGTTGAACACTCACAGCAGGGTAAGTGATCAAGTTCCCAGGGATGTTCCACCTGGCTCCATGGCATTCTTCATCCCTGCCTCTCACTGACAGCAACCACACAGCATTTATTAGCTGCCCAGAACAGATAAAACATTTTTTTCTCACATGTGTCAGACACTTCATTGAGCATTACAGATACATAAATAACACAGGGCCTCTTGCTCTGGGAGTTTATACTAGAATGGTTTGTAAGATGGGCAGAAATTAGCATTACAGGGGCTGAAGAAATGATGCAATTTCTTGCTTGCTCACAAGCATTAGGACCTGTATTCAGATCCCTAGTCCCCAAGTAAAAAGCTAGGCATGGTGATGCACACCTGTAATCCCAGCTCTGGGAAGGTGGAGACAGAAGTATCCTTGGAGTGTGCTGGCTTGCCAGTGTAGCCAAATCAGGGAGTTCTAGGTTCAGTGAGAGATCCTGCACACACACACACACACACACACACACACACACCACACATACACACCTATGTGTGTATGTATGTATGTATGTATACATAAATATATATGCATAGAGTGAATGAAAAAGACACCGTATGTTGACCTCTGGCCTCCGCATGCACAAGCATTTGTATATAAATGCTCATGAACACTCACACCACAGACATGTGCAAGCACACACCAACATTCACTCATAAGCATACAAAGGAATTAGCATTATACTACGGCTCTAGAGGCCATGGTGAAAAGAGACATAGTGTTATCATGAAACCCATTATTTTGTATAAATATGTACTCAAAAATATCCACATCACAAGTTTGTCTGGTGAGAAAAGTCTTAATAAATTTGTAAACCCCAATTATTTATCCCTAATCTGTCTTCATTCCCTTAATATGGTGGTCTTTAATGCTAAAGGGGAGACAACAAGGTAGAGAGAGAGACAGAGAGAGACAAAGACAGACAGAGAGAGAGAGAGAGAAAGAGAGAGAGAGAGGAGAGAGAGAGAGAGAATATTAATGAATTGTGGTGATGGAAAGAAAGAAGCATTCTTAGACCACCATTAGCTGGAGAGACAGTTCAGTAGTCAAAGTGCAGTCCAGATCCCCAGAATCCACATAAATGCCAGGCGTGCATGTTGCTCTTCCAGCCTTGGAAAAGGGAGATGAGATCTCCATAGCAAGATGGCTAATGAAATTAGCCATATCAGCAAGCTCTGGGTTTGACTGAGAGACCCTGCCTCAATGAGTGCAAGAGTGATGGATGATGATTCTGACATCAACCTCAGGCCTCCACATTCATGAGCAAACATGTGCACTATGTGTATTCCTCCTACACATGCAGACATCCTCACAGCACACATAGATGTGAAAATGGGAAAAGTAATACACAAGACAAGGCACCTTTGGAAGGGGAAAAAGGGGGAAGGGAAGAGGGAGGAATAAAGAAGAGGAGACGGAGGAAGAGAAAATAAAAATAGGAGGAGGGTGTGGAGAAGGAGGAATGAGGAAGCATTTGTGTGAGGGAACAGGTAGGCGTCACTGCCTTCCAAGACTTAGCTAGAGGGTGTGACAGCAGATTCTCTCCATGCAGAGTGAGAGCACAGTTGCCTTCATGAAGCTGTGGCCACTAGGGCAGGAGGATGAAAGCGTGTTTAAAGTTTGGGGACCCTGACCATGGACTGCCAGGTAGGGGACAGATATCTTACATGATGTACCTGGTTTTGACTTGGACCACTCAGGAGGAAGGATGGGCCTGAGGAGAAGGGGACAGGACAACACTCATGTGGTATCTGAAGCTGAACACTGTGTCTCAGCAGCTGGGATGCTGAGTTGTGCCAATGGACAAAGCCTCAAGGAGGCAGACCAAGGTTGAAAAGCAGAGTCTGAAAAAGGAAAGGGTAGAGGTCCCAACTATCAGGTCCAAAGGAAAAAACGAATTCCCCAAACTCCAAAAGGCAGTCCATATGTCCAGGAACATGCTTAGTGTGCTGGACTATAGGATTTCTGGGGGTTAGATAAAAGCCAGACTTCCTCAGGAACTTATGAAACTGGTTTCCATCTGCCAAAAGGAGTCATTTCCCTTACCTCGGGCAGAAGGGACATAAGGCTCTCCATTTGGTTGCATATCAAAGTGCAGGCTGGCCTTCAGGCTCCCCAGAAGCACAAGCACCTGTTACACATTTCAAAGTCCATGCTGGCATCCTGGCTCTTCTTTTCTCCTCTTCTACCCTAAATTTCCCCACCCCTAGCTACTCATCCTTTTTATAACCCCTATCCCCACTCTTCTCTGTTCTGGCTATTCTTACTATGTTTTCGCTATTCTCTATGCTCTGCTCTTCTTCTACCTTCTCTCACAGATAGACCCAGCCATGTCCAGTCTGCTGGCCATGTTCAGTCTACTACTTTCTTTCTCTGCTCTAGACTCTTCCAGATGCCCTTGGCTGTTCTTGCTCTCATATACAAACCTTCCTCCTAACCATACCGTGGAGCAGGGATGTCGGCAGTTTCTTTACCACACCCCTCTCACATATCACTGGTGCTAAAACCCTCCCCAACGCCAACCCTTCAGAACACCGTTTGATAAACAGAGACCTACAGTATAGTATAGATAGAGAACAGGGAAGGAAACTGGGTGAAAGGCCAACAGAGCCAAGAGAAGAACTGAGCCATCTCCCCAGACTGTGGCCCAGTCTTTATAAAGCCAGGCAGTGAGAAGCCCTAAGCAATGGCACACATCTGGTTTAAAGTTTGGATGCAATGTCAAAAGTACTACCTGACCCACTGCAGTTGTACTGGCTGGTTTTGTGTGTGAACTTGACACAGGCTAGAGACACCAGAGGAAGGAGCCTCAGTTGAGGAAATGCTTCAGTGAGATCCAGCTGTAAGGCATTTTCTCAATTAGTGATCATTGAGGGAGGGCCCAGCCCATGGCAGGTGGTCTTGGGCTGAGCAGGCCAAGCGAAGCAAGCCAATAAGCAACGCCCCTCCATGGCCTCTGCATCAGCTCCCGCCTCTGGGATCCTGCCCTGTTGAGTTCCTGTCCTGAGTGATGAACTGCAATACTCAAGTGTAAACCAAATAAACCCTTTCCTCCCCAACTTGCTTTTTGGTCATGGTGTTTTACTGCAGCAATAGAAACCCTAACTAAGACAGCAGGCATTTGGTAGATATCCCATGGATAACTCTGTATCAAAAGTTATGCCACATGGTTAAGTTGACAAAGTTCGATTCACCAATTTCGTTATTTGTAAGAAAACAATACATGGCCATATTTAAATGTTAAAATGTGGTGACTATGCATCTACAAGGGCAATTAGTTGGTGATAAGAAAACAGACGACAGATGGGGTGTAATAGGCCTGAAAATAGAGACAGAGGAGTGGACTTGAACTCAGGCACCATGGACAGAGGTGTTG